GGTTATTTGTTCCTTGGGCAAAAGAAATGAACTGTTAATTTTTTATACTGTAAATTATATTTCTAGATATAATTTAATGCTTTTAGTAATGAAGTTAACAACAGTTGGAAGAGGGTGAGGGAAAACATCTGGACCACCTGATTTTAATACTTAGCAGATGGGTCAAATCATGGCTAGTATTAAAAAAATAATAATAATGCTTGAAAAAGTAAAGCAAAAATTAAGGTCACAGATGAATATCAAATAGAGTACAAGAGCTAATATTATAATTCTGAAAAATTCCATTGGTAAGAATAAACAAGCAAGCTTACAGTACAGAATACTGTTTACCCATTTTATTTCAGAGGTTTATTACCCGACGAATATTCCAATATGAACGTTAATCATCAGCTGTAATGTTGACCTTTGACATCATTGAATTTGGTGTTCTTCTGCATCTAAATATATCTGTATCAGAAGGGCACATCCACTCCATAATTCATAGTTTGCTCAAAACAGGTTTATTAAAGTCATTCTAAATTTCCATTTTATTTTTATACAAAATCTATACTTAAATTGTGACTAGGGTGACAAACATCATACAGACAATTATCATAACAATTTGTTTTACATACTTTAACACACCAATTGGAAGAATAAATTAAGCTCTGGTAGACAAATACAACTTACTATCATAACAAAGTTTAGATGAGGCAGAACCTGGTTGGATGTCTTGGAATGAAAAGAATTAATTCATTTACATTATTTGTAATGTTGCTTGACGGCTTACCCTCACTTTTATTGAGGGCACAAGGTAAACCTGTACTGTACAGTAGTAATGAAATTTTTTTTATATTGGGGCGTGTATCAATTTTTGGCTAATATTTGGATCTTGACTTTTACTAGTTTGGTAGACAATTTTGGTCTCATTTTGTTCAATATTTGATGCTTAATGCAATGGAGATAGTCATTTTTTGTGGAAATGTGTTTTTATTTTAACTTCCGAGTGAAGAAGTTTTTGTCAGCGGGGAAAGTTATTGACTGAACTCTTGATCATTTTCCGCACCAGCCACTCTGTGACTTCAATGCGTGATAACATGTGACTAAGGTTAGGTTAGATTATGGTTTGTTGCATTTCAATGGAAAATGGTCATAGTAACATTTTTATTGTTATCTTTTTTTACATCGTGATTCTCAACTCGGAAGTTGAAAAAAAATAAAATAAAATTTAGTGTTTCTCCCCCCAAAAAGACTATCTCCATTGCATTAAGCATCAAATATTGAGCAAAATGAGACCAAAATTGTCTGCCAACTAGCAACAGTCAAGATCCAAATATTAGCCAATTTTTCTCTCAATGCACTCAACACAAAATAAAGTCTTCAGTATAGGCCAATCAATTTTTGGGCCCAGAGAAATGAAAGGGTTTATAAAAGCTGCAAACATGTGGCTACCATACATAACACTTAATATAGAGATAAAATTTCTTCCAGGGTTATGGCTTTGACTATCATGCATGAGCCATGACTTGGCTAGGAGGTATATGAATTAAAGAAAAAAACATAGTACTGTACTGTATGTAAGTATCTATGCATTCTTTGGTCATGTCCTTGTAACACATGACTTATGTCTTACTCAGTATATCATTCTCTTATAAAAAAAATCATATGCTGTACACATAAGAGTGGTGAGTAATATGTATGCACAGAAATGGTGAGCATATGTATGCAGTCTAAAAAAGATATAGTATACCCTTGATATTCGTAGCAAATTGGATTTCTGAAGAACCTCACAAATGCAGAATCCGCAAGAGTAAAATCCTTGGTTCATTGAAAAACAGGGGTTAAGCTCCAGGTACAAATGAACATAAGAAAGGGAAATCATAAATGCTTAAGAAAAGTGGCTACAATAAACACTGCACCTGTCAATAATAGTACAGTACTGTAATACATAATGCATATTGAAAGCATACTTCCTTTTTTTACTTCTCTTTGATGATAAAGATTTAAGGCAATCTGTGTGACATTGACTAGTGTGCCAAATTTATATTTAAAAAAGTGTGCATCAATGATACACAAAACAGTTTCACATATTTTTTTCTTTTATGAGAAAAGTCCGATACAGTGACCCCTCCATTAACGAACTCAATCCGTTCCAGAAGGTCGTTCGTTAACCGAAACCATTGTTTCAATGGGTTTTTGGGTAATTGGTTCCAGCTCACCGAAAATTTCCTAATTTCAACAAAAATGGTAGAAACATTTACTTACTTTGAGGTGTGTATGTAGAAGGCTCCTGGATGATGATGATAATGATGTGCATTTGAAGTGGGAGGTGGAGGAGGAGAAGGGAGAAGAGAAGGAAGTGGAGGTGGAGGAGAAGCATTTTACTGCTTCTTGGAAGGTGAGTCACCTTCCATGAAAATGTCAGGAACCTCTGGACCGACAGATTCTCCACCATGAACATCCTCTCTCCTTCTTGAAGTGGAAGGCTGAGGGCTAGCATCTTGTTCCCTCTGCCTTTTACTGAAGAAAGTGTCAATTGTGGTCTGTGGGGCATCTGTCCTCCTCACCATTAACTTATGTTTAAAGAAGGAGACCACCGAGTCCTCAACATGACACAAAGTTAGTTCAGTTTTTTCCACTTCTGGGAGCTTTGAAGCCAGTTCCCTGAACTTCTCCCAGTAGTAAATCACATCTTTCAACTGTTTAGTTGACATATGGTCATCACTTTCAATTTCCTCCTCACCACTGTCAGCCTCTACCCGTAACATCTCATCCAGTTGCTTCAAGTCATCAGGAGTAAGTTCCTCCTCATGAGACATCACAAGCTCTTCCACATCCTTCTCCTCCACTTCAAGGCCCAATGACTGACCAATGGACACAATCTCCTGGTCCAACTCTGTTTCTTCCTCAAATCCCTCAAAATCATGGACTACTGATGGCCACAGTGCTTTCCATGAAGAATTGAGGGTTCTAGTGGAGACTTCTTGCCATGATGACACAATCAATTTTACAGCCTCCAGGACGTTGAATTGTGTCTTCCAGAACTGTTTCAGTGTTAGTTCAGGATCAGTGGAAGTTGCCTGATGACACCTCCTAAACATTTTCTTCATGTACAACTTCTTGAAGTTGCTGATTACATTCTGGTCCATTGGCTGTATGATTGATGTAGTGTTTGGAGGCAAAAACAACACCTTTCACAAAGTCAAATTGATACTCCAAATTGCTGGCAAGGTCAGGGTCATGACCAGGAGCATTATCCATGAGAAGAACCTTTAAAGGGAGTTTATTGATGGTTAGGTAGCTCTTGACAGAAGGGCAAAACACATCAACAGCCCATTCATTAAAGAGCTGTCTTGTCACCCATGCCTTATGGTTGGACTTCCAATAAACTCCAAGTTTTGTTCTTACCACTTTCTGTTGCTGAACACCCTGGGGTTTTCAGAGTGGTAGACAAGCATAGGCTTCAGTCGGAAATCCCCTGAAGCATTGGCACCAAGCAATAGAGTGAGACGGTCTTTCATGGGTTTATGTCCAGGTAAAGAGGCTTCATCTTTGGTGATGAATGTTCTTTTGGGCATCGTTTTCCAGAACAGCCCAGTTTCGTCCACATTGAACACTTGCTGTGTTAGATAATTTTCTTCTTCCATCAGTTTTTTAAATTCAACTAAAAACTTTGCTGCCCCTTCTTTATCAGCACTAGCAGCTTCACCATGCCTAACAACACTTAAAATGTCACTTCTTTTCTTAAATTTTTCGAACCAGCCTTTGCTAGCCCGAAAATCTTCAAATTCTGTTCCTGAAGAACCAGGTTGATCTGCCTTTAAATGTTCATAAATCTCCCTGGCTCTTTCACAAATGAAATCACCAGAAACTGAATCACCTTTCATCTGTTTTTCCCTAATCCAGATGATAAGTAACCTCTCAGTTTCTACGATTAGGGATCTACTTTTAAACACTCTTGTAGATTTGTCTCTCACGTTCACTTCTTTAAATTTGTCTTTTTGTGCAAGAATTGTCGGCACAGTTGATGCCGACATGCCATATTCTTTGCATAGCGCATTTGATTTAATGCCTTGTTCGTGTTTTTTTATTATTTCCTGCTTGATTTGGATTGAAATTGCTTTTCTTGATCTCTTAGGCCCCATGCTGGATTCAAACAATGTCAACACGTGTTTTTCAAAGTTAAACTAGCTGTAAATAAAGAATATTTTCTTTAAAATAACACTGCACTGCGCTATATATTGTCAATATGTAAAATAAATTTCAAAATGACCAACAATTTGCTTGGAAACACAGAAAAAAAGCGTTTAGTTGAATAGAGTCTCAAGCAAGATGTTACCTCCAGTGAAAACAGAGAGAGACTACGGTAACTCCTGTTTGCTGTGTTAAGAGGCTGGATGCCGCGCATTAAACTAGTCACTTTACCTTCAATTATGTTCAATAATTGTTAAAATGACTAAAAAATTGAATACTAAACTTTTCAAATTATTGAATAGTATAAACTTCTTGATATTTACTAAAATAGTAAGGAATTTAAGCCCTAGAACCGATTAATGTATTGGCGGACTGATACTAAAGCTGGTTGCCCGGTCAGTGCAAGCGAAAACATGTTGAGGTCGGTTCGTAAGAACTTCGTTAACCGAATTTTTTTTCGTTAACCGAATTGAAGATCCTTATGGAAGGCAGTTCATTAATCGAAATTACGTTAACCGAGGTGTTCGTTAAACGAGGGGTCACTGTACATCACAATCAGAAAAACTTGTTAACAATGCTAACATGTAAAGTTATGGCAAAAAAAAGTGCAACAGCATCACAATTCCACACATGTGAAAGCCATAAACTCAATGCTTAATGGCTGAGACACAAGACAGCTTCAATACTGATTGGTTGTGGAGTGAAGTAGGTTCTTCTCACACTTACCCAAACCCAAGCCATTTTCTTGAATAGTGCATGTTAAGCTATTTACCTTAGTAGCGCAAGAAGGATAACTCATAAAATCATATAAAATTAAAAAATTACAGTACAGCACATATTTTTATTATTCTACAGGTATTTACCAAACTAAAAAATATATACAGTATCTATCAAATTTATGCTTTAAATCTACATTTAAAAGCAGTACTGGTATATGTAGTTTTATTCTCTGAAATTTTACTTTTGATTGTCAACATGTATAAAAGTTCAAGCACCAGCAGTTGCTTGTCCAATGCATAGAGCATGGGTGTCCCAAGTCTCATTTATTATTTATTATGAAGATATCTATATTTCCAGATATTTGCCAAAAGAATTTTAAGTAGTACTGTAGTGAACAAAAGTAGCCTTTTAAGTGGTGGTTTTTTAACCTTAAACAAAGGTGGTTGTAAACATATGATGAGTGCCCCCCAATGATAGTGGTCATCTTATTAGTAGTATAACAAAAAACTTTCTGCTCGAGTGATTTATTGAAACTTTTCCTTCCCCATGTTGGTCCCTCCTCGTGTCCTTCCTTCAACCAGAAACAGTTTTTGTTATCATGGAGGAAGTATCTGGCAATTCCAGTGATGAGTTGCAGAGAAAGACCCCTCATTGCATTGTGATGCCTTGACATCCTAGAAAAACAAGTAAAATATAATGGGAATCAGAGAATGAGGGTGAGTTTAAAGAACTGATAGATTCACTGAGTAAATTCTGAAATGATAGCTTCGGCAAGAGTGACACTGACAAACTATAGTCTATTACCACACTGTTTCACATGCTAATTCTTGCTTCCCCAAGTGTGGAAATTATCAGAGATCAATACAGAATAGCTATTTTCCCTTAAAATATCAGAATTAAATACTGTATAGGTAATAATTAAATAATTAGGAACTGTAGTGACTTTTCCAACGTCCATGCACCAGCCAAACTACTTCCTTGCTACAAACTAACCATAGACCTCAGTTGCAATCTTCAGGTGAAGAGACTATAGTCATCTGCATAAGAGAAGTGCTTAGAGATCAGGAGGAAAGCTAGGTACATATACACTGTACGTAGTTGTCATTTTTATCGAATCCATGACCATTGTTTTCTTACCCTTTTTTATTGTTGATTTGTGTACCAGGGATTATTCAAACATGATTTAGCTTCTATGCACTTCTGAAACATGTCAGCTAACTCCACGGGAGAACAAATTCCGAAATGTTGGCCAGTGGTCATTTTCACCATGCAGCCGGTGATAACTTTTGAATTAGATACACTAGAACCATGAATAAGAGATCATTTTCCACTAATTTTGAGGCGAGAAGTCTGATGGGGTGGTAAATTTTTAGTTAGGGCACCATCTTGACCTCCAAATCCAAGATGGCATCCGTCGCCAAGGTTAAAAATGGGAAACGAATAACTAAGGAACCAACCGATCTATATGCACGATTGAAGCTTCTTCTACCACTAGTTCCAGCGTGGCACCTTGATCCTTTATACAAAATAGTTTCACTCTGAAATTTTATAGATACAGGTGGGAAGATAATGGTCACCGATTTCATTAAAGCAGCACCACCATGTGAAAATAATTTGTGATCTCAGTATCAAGGTTATATACTGAATAAAATTAAACAAAGTTCCTTTTTTATGCTTCACTACAATACATTTTAAGCATCATTGTTCCTGTCACTGCTAAGGCCACTGCTGCCATTAGAACCACGGTCACTATCAGAACATCTCCATTGTCACTTTCACTGTGTCCAAGTCTTCATCCAACGGATTCAAGGGTAGGCGGTACTGATGTGGGGGCTGGGCGTAGTGGACAGGCAGGCACAGGCCATCTGACAAATGCCATCCATGTCCAATGGGTAAGGCATGGAATTTGAGGTTGGGTGTTTAAGCAGAAAACTGAGATAGTTTGTTTACTTTAAGTGGAGGTGAAGACTATCTGAGTCAGGTGCCACTTGGACGGTGTTCGTCTTCTTTTGTGTCCTTCACTGAGCTGCCCTTACTTCTCCCAGATTCGTGTTCTTGGCGTCACAATAGATGTATCGGATCACAAACTTCTCCAAGTCATCGAGGACTTCTTTTGGGGCTGGCAGCTCTGTGCCACATGATGCCAAGAGGTCACGTGCCTCCTTAGAACTTTGGACACGATCTGCCACCAGTTTCTTGCTGGTGCCATAGAAGCCAGAGTTATGATTGCAGACGGTGAGGACATGAAGTGGAACGATGCAGGTCGCCATTTCCTCATTGCATAGACTTTGAGAGGTGATGAATTGTATCTTCCTCTTCAGACATAATACTCCTGACATTTGCTGGGCAACATAAGCTGCCTGCACATAGTAATCGGTGTCTTCTGTGTCAAGAATGAAAGCTTATGTATAGCCCTCTGACCAGAAGACACTGTAGATGAAAAACAGTGCAGTGCCAGTCTCTGCATGGGAACACGTGAACTGTGGTGCAGGCTAGCCTATACTGAAGTTTTTCGCACTGGAGCCTATACAGTAGAAGATTTTGACAGCAGATGTGTCTGCAGTGCTCTGGAATCCAGCCTGCAGAAAGGCCTGCAAATGGAAATTATTTTCTGCTTTACCCAGAAAAAGGTGGAAGTCCTTGATTGCAAGCAACTATCTTCAGACTTCATGTAAATGTTACTGATTGATGCACTCTTCTGACATAGCATCCGCTCATTGTCTGTAATTGTTCATCTCTGATCGTATGGGTCATTCACACAAATGATCCGCTCTGCATTTTTATGCCTTGTCAAAACTGTGCGCACCACCTCCTTTCTATAATCTTTCCAGGTGTATTTGGTACCATCGTCCGTCTCTCGATCTTCGGTGGTTGGGGCAGCCAGACGCCAAATTAGGCCCATGTCAACGATCTATGTGTATGTATCAGGTTCTTGTATGGGTGTCATCGTGAGTTTCTCTTGCAACTTGCTTTTATACACCTTCCGCATCGTGCCATTGGTGTTGAAGATCGACAGACTCTTCTGTGACACAATGCTGCAACACCTGTTCAAGTTTGAGGGAACCACTCTCTTCAATTAGGGCAAGAATGGAATCCATGGCATTTGTTAACAATTCCTCTGTCTTCCCTTTCACATTATTGTTGTCGGCCTTTGTGACTTTGTTGGTAGTAAAGTTTTGGCGTCTGGTTTTCGGGACTCGGTCGTTCAGTGACTTCACCTTGGAATAAAAAAAAATTTCCATACCATTTACCTTTGCAGATTTCAATCAGCAGCGATCATTTCGGAAGCCGGAATGCCTGACTGCAGAGAACGAACTGTCTGATTGGTATGGCCAAATGGATCGCATTTGAATTCAGTGAGGCATGCACTGAGATCTGCATTAGCTTTTTCTTCTATCTTGATTTTACTCATCGCCGAATCGGCATGCTTCATATCAGCATTTTTGTTGGGATTGGCATGGTGATGCACGCTTGCCCTCACTCTGTTTACGTTCTTGATGTTGGGAGTGTTGGAAAGTAACGGTTTCTCATGATTGAGAATAACAAGCCAGTCCGACTCCAGCTTGGATCCCTTATTCATTGTTGATTCAAGCCACATGAAGGAGTATGGTTTCCCGGTCATGAACTGGGCAAACAGACCATTTTCCATATATTCAGCCTGTTCACCCTGAAGATTGTCGAGAACTGCACTGAAATCTGGAAGATACTGGCCATATTTGTCATTGTCATAGATTGTCATCCATGGCAGCATGAGTTTTAGTGATGATATGAACTCATGCCAGTTTTGAGTCCTGAGGGCATGAATGTCCTGAGTCAGAATCTCCACCATCTCCAAGAAAGATATTCAATACTGGGCTTGCAGGAATTTTCATAGTCTTTGAAGAGAGTATTGACAAGCTTCTTCAAGACCTCATTGGTTTTAATCTCAGCGTAGGGTTTCACAAGCTGTGCGATGGCCGCCATCTTGGATTTGGAGGTCAAGATGGAGATCTAACTAAAGATTTACCAGCCCATCAGATTTCTCACCTCAAATGACCCCTTATTTATAATTCTAGTGTATCTAGTTCAAAAGTTATCACCGGCCATGTGGTGAAAATGACTACTGGCCGCTATTTCAGAATTTGCGTTCACGCAAAGTTAGCTGACATTTTTCAAAGGAACACAGGAACCTAATCTTATTTGAATAGTCCCTGGTACACAAAATAAGAAAAAAAGAAAAAGTAGGAACACAATGGCCACAGATTCAATGATAATGACTACTAGTAGAAATGCTTCTCAACATGTTGCTTATGTACTGGCTAAGTGTGCATCAACATGTGCACGAGGTGTTTGTGGCGCCATTCCCATAAACCTGTTATTTATAATTACTGATAAAAACACGACTATCCGAGGTAACCTGTATTTGGGAAGTACATCAACAGGTGCAGACACCAATAGCATTGTCTTGACTCCAATCCACACAACTTTTAAGCCCAGCCCTATCAAGTCTTATTCTCTGTAATCAGCAAACAAAGTATGATTCTTTTCATCGCAATACAGGACAGTACTTCATTTTATTTCATTTCTCATCATATTAAATGGTTTGTTTTAATGAAATTTTTAATTAACCTGAAGTGTCACAGATGGGAGACATGGGTTGAGGGGCCAGGAGATACCTTCCGATACTGGTTATCCTTTTATTTTCAAGTAAATTTACATGTATTTTCTATTATTGAGAATGTATTATTATTTATGATGAATTGTACACCATAAGAGGCTGATCATGTGACAATATAATAATGAATCAATAATAAAACAGGTTCAAATCTGTCCCACGCAGAAATGCCTCAATCTCACCCATCCTCCCACCTGGTCACATACTGTACACAGTTTCATCCTTCCCATTGCTTGTTTCTCTCATTGGGTATACATGGAATCTGATTACAAGCAAAAGTTGTCCTTTTCATAAGAAAATTTTATATTTTTCCCATTCAAAAAAAAAAAGAAGAAAACTCCTTGTCAGAGAAATAGTCTACACAAATAGGGTTAATATTAATTGTTTTTAACATACAAATATGGAATTCAATATACAAAATGTTCTAATAAAAGTGAAAAGTTACCTCAATGTAATATAGAATAATATGTAAAAACTGAACATTCTCAAATTTTTAAGTAAATTTGATAGTGGTACAGTATATGGAAAAAGAATGTGGTTTTATCCTCAATGTAGTTACTGTTATAATAAATGATATTTCTTGAATTATATTTTTCATGTTTTAAGATACTGTAATAATTTCACCCTAATCTTTGAAAATTTGCAAATACCAGAGGTTAGGGAGTCAAGAATATGGAATCAGCATACATTTACTAAAATTGTGAATATATGCAAAATTTGTGAATACCAAGGGGCTACTGTATACTTGTCCTTTAACTTAAATTTTAATCCATGTGCCAGGGGCCTTAATGTACAGTTTACAGCACCTTATACCACCATTCTACTGGTTATTGGGATGCTTAAGAGGAACTGCAGACTAAGGCACTGAGGACACAGATTTCATGTTTCAGGCACATAGGGTAAAATTTTTCAACTGAAAATATTTATTCGCTGACTACTGTACTGTATATCACTCACTCATTCTTCTGTCACATAGGGCAGAGATCAGGATTTAAAGTTTCATAATTTATCCTAAAACCATGAAATAACTATATACATCACAAACACAGATTACTAAAAACTTTCTTCATGATGAGAAGAAAAGTTATCAGCATCTTAAGAGTCAGAGTTAGCTTTTCTTTAACAAACTTTCCAATATTCATGTCAAATGAATGTTAACAAAGAAGGGAATATCAAATTTCTTATCCTTATAACACAAGAAAAACCTTGCCTATTTAACATTAGGGAACTTCTACATACAGTAATACTATTTACATTTCATTAAAGGGTTACTTAATGTTCTATTCATAGTCTTCAAATAAGGCCAATTTTCTTTCAAACAGATTTATTTTATCATAAATTTTCAGCTGAAAAAAGCTCAGCAATACTGTATCATGTAAGGCAACATCATATTAAAAAGTTCAATGAAACCCAGATGCTGTATCAATGATCTCACAGATCAACATAAGACCACTGAATGTATATATCATATAAGACAATACCCTCTGTACTTAAATTCATGATAATCTCTTCATAAGCCATATTAGGATCCTGATGAAATCTCCTGTTTTATGTACTGTATATTTAACACTTTCTTTTATTCATTATGATTTGTTTAATATCCTAAGAGATCATAGGTTAATTAAGAAAGTGAAAGTTTGTGACCTTTCATTCATTCATTGGCCTGAGAGCTTCATGAACCACTGGAGTGGATAAGATTTTCAAACATATCGAGGAGGCGCCTCACTTCCTTACTGAGATTAGAATTTAGGAAAACAAGTCTTTTAGTATGACAAAAAACAATACAGGGGTAATAATAAGAAGCATTAACCAATATCAATAAACTATGCTATTTAATTATTATAGGGTACAGTATTTACAAATTTTAACCATTCACTTATACAGCGGAGTCACATTAATTTGAAAAAAAAAAAAAAAAAAAAATTTGCATTCTTAAATTCGCAGGTACTGTACCTCAATTACTACCTCCTTTTTAAAATTTTGCGGCCAAGTGCTGGCTGCCACATTGTTTATTTTCATAAGAAACAATAAAAGTTGTAGAAATGTCACTTCACTGTTCCAATGTGGCAAGTGAATTGTGGGCAGGACACTGCGACATCCTTAATATAGCATTATCAAATTTAACCATAATTCCTTCATTAATTTGGTTCATTTGGTAATGTACAGTTGTAGAAATGTGTTCCTACACCCCCTGTGGTAACCAGTGTCTCTAAGTGGCCAATCTATTATGACCTATAGCAAACCTATGCACCAATCACGTCCATTGTTACACAACCAATACTCATCCTTTCATAAATAGTGAAACTACTACTACTGCGACATTGTCGTTTGGAGACATGGATTAACCACAGGGGGTGTAGAAACACATTTCTGCAATTGTACCGGGTTAACAAGACATTATTGTAATACATTTTCAGACACAAAAAAATCCCATATTCAACCCAGATGAGTTATTGTTTGGTACTGTATTAAATTCTGTGTATGTTTTTACCCCACAATTCGCCTCTATTTCAAAGTACTGTACTGAAAATTTTGTAGCCCAAACAATGGACCCTATATTCATGTTGAATTGTATACTGTATCTGAATAAATACTATTATTATTATCACTGTACTATTATTCAAACTTGGATTAATGTAGCCTGATCTTCAAACTTTTTCCACTGTAGGAGCCTGATCTTAAAACCTCATTTAAAATTTTCAACATTACATTGGTAGTTGTGTAGTTTTGAAGCTGTACTGCACTTTTTTTTAAACGTTGGTCATCAATAAACTAGCAAGCACAGTATTCAATGAAAAAGTGGTGTCACTGCCAGTTCTGTTAGCAAATTGTGAATACCATGATGTTCTTGTATCATGCCTGTTTAAAAACTACAATAAAATGCACTGGTTAACTGCCTGCAATTTTTTTTTTATAGTAAATGGTGTAAACTGGTGTAACTACCACCATCACTATTACTGAAGAACTGAACGGAGAATATTCCTTTAAGTTGTAAATACAGTAGTCGGGATATATCGCTAATTTATATAAAAAAAAAATTATATCGCGGCTACCAAAATTATCGACATTTTCATACATATAGCGATAAATTTTTTTATTTCCCGAGGGAAATCAGGCAGGAAATAATTCAAATGTACCTCCATGGCAAACAAATGCATTATTTGCTCACCAGAGGTGCCACCGTGGCTGCTCACTCATGCATTCACGCTCGCCCGCTCAATCTTTCCGAGTGAGTGACAAGAAAGCAGCCGAGTCTGCTGCAGATTACGACTTCTAAAGTGAGTGTTAATGGGTTGCTAGTGACGGGAAAAGTGAAGTGAAGATAATGGAAAGTTTAATGGAAAAGATTTAATACTGTTACTAATATTTTGGGTTTGTTCGTTTATGATTGTTAAGTGCGGGTGGCAGTCTGTTTTCACGGGATGGCGCATCAGCTGCCGAGTCTGGTGCAGATTCCAATTTCTAAAGCGAGTGTAAATGGGTTGCTAGTGACATGAAAAGTGAGGTGAGGAAAATGGAAAGTTTAATGGAAAAGATATAATACTGTAACTAATATTTTTGGCGTTCGTTTATGTAGGTGTGGGATTGCCAAGTGAGGGTGGCAGTGTGGGGTCTATTGCCGAGTCTGGTGTTCCTTGATATTGATACCGACATTGAAATAGCCTGTTGTTCCCGAGTCTAGCATTCATTGGTGCTTTAGTTAGTAAGAAAATGAACTTGTTAAGTCAAGTTTAGTCACTTTTATTAGCCTCCAGAACCTAACCCAATTTTCCCCATTAATTATATGTAATTATATATTGTGATTTAGTATACAGTGAACATAACTATACAGGTTTAATACTTTAAGATATGTGACAAACCATACCGTTAGCCCAAGTTACCAGGCTAGCTAGGGACCCATATAATCGAGCTTAATTATTCAAATGCTGGCAAAAAATGTAAAAAAGTAACAGTTGTGGGAATTATCCTAGCAGGTATAATGCAGTTGAGTTAATCATCCTGAAAGGGTTGACAGTGATGACATAATCAGGCTTGAGCAAGCTGAAATGATAAAGGTGAGATGGCTGTGTAATGTGACATTGAAAGATATGAAACACTATTCAGAGCTAAGCAGGAGGCTGGGTAGTGAGAGGATTGGTGAAGTTTTGCATAGAAGTTGGCTGAAATAGTCTGGGCATATGGAGAGAATGGAGGAGACCAAATGGGTAAAGAGATGCATGAATTTGAATGTGGAGGAGAGGAGAGCCCGAGCTAGGTCAAAATGATGTAAGAAATGATCTCAGACACAAAAGCCTGATGAGAGAGGCTGCAAGAGACCACACAGCATGGAGAGCTGCCATCAGGTAATCATAACTAACCCACACAAGTATGGAAAATGGCCATAAGAAGGTGATGATGATAATGGGCATAAAGGACAGGTGGATTTATCATCATCATCACCGATTTACAGTCATACTTGCCTTGATTACCTGATAGCATGGTGTCCTAGTTGCCATGAGGCAAATTTGAAGTAAGTTTTATGGCTGGATGCTAACCCACTTTTACAGTGGGAATGGTGTATCATACGAGTACAGTATGTAGAACTAACAAGCACCCACTTAACTGGCAAGGCAGGATTAATAGCCCCTGAGGTAATGAAAGATTACCATCCTACCATAAAAAATTAAATAAAAAATGGTAGCTTCATCTGGGAACCATCAAGTGGTAATTTATGTTCTACCAGCAGGAGTCAGACACCCTCACTATTCCACTGATCACAATGCTTCCTTTTTGGGGACTGCAGTTGTATTAGGAATGAATAACTATGTTCGCAATTTCTTCTGAATCTATCAGTTATTTGGAAATTAGCCTCATGCAAATGTATCATAGGTCCTGAGACCTGGGATTTCAACCCCTTAGACTGGTGACTGTTCTTGAGTCATCAAAGATGAGCCTAGACTGAAAATAAGCTAAATATTATATTAACCCAATGAATAATGTATGGGCAAGTGCTATAACAAATCTGTGACAGAAAGATGGGCTGCCAGACAGACAGATACAATGAAAATAGTATGCAAGACATAAATATGAAGCAGAAGAACATTATCAAAAGGATACATTTGCTCTTGAAGCTTGTAGATAGGCTTCATCGACTTGCTCAGCTCCTCAGTTTTGGCCATCAGTTGGTACATTGACTGGAAAGATGTACATCCGTCAAAAGACTTGAATGAACAAGGCAATATAAATTTGAGATTTTATTGGATCATTTGTTGATAATAGTTTCTTCAAAAGGGGGCCTTAGTATTACACAGGAATGAGATACAGTAAAGTATATAGTAACAAATCTGAGGGAGAAAAAAGAGAAAAAGAAATCAATTATAGCATACAGTACTTCTCATTTAAAGGAGTATGCAACTATCTTGCCACTTAGTTTTCTAGTTACAAACTAATTCATTGGTTCAATCCCCATAGGAAGGTAGCTCATAAGATGCACTTTTATTTCCTTAAAATCAGCCTGCATCTTATCGGTTGAAGGTCAGTTTAAGGTTAAAAGTTCTGTTCAAAACATGAACCCCAGAGATGTCAAACACAATCCCCAAATTACCCGGAATTATTATACAAGCTTATACTATGCTCAGATAATGAGAAACTAATTACTGTATAGACTTAAAATTGGTATGATCATTAGCTTAAAAATATTACTGGGACATAATTCCTATAATTGTGGAACATTATCGTGTTTACCGCCCGGGCACCGCTTGTTTTGGTAAACTAAGGCCATCTACAGGTAGGTGAACCAACTACCATAATAGCTCGGGAGTACAGTACAGTAAAAGTCCAAAAATCCGGATGCCAGAAATCCGGACCACCCGAGAATCTGGGTTTTTCGAAAACTCACTTTTTTTTTAAAATTTAGCGGGCTTTTGTGTGTATGTGCACATGCGTGAGCGCCACAGCTGCACAGCAACAACAAGCGTCCACACGGTCGCCACTTTAAAACGAGCAATCAAACTGTGACAACGCATGTAATTTTGAGTCCTACTCTTTCCATTTACAGATTACTGTACAAGCCAATAATAATGGCTCCTAAAGTAGATAAACTTCGTTGTGTGAAGAGAAAGAAGAACACGTTGAAATTGAGTGACAAACTTGAAATAATTAAGAAACTAGAACGTGGTGTGAGCAATGCTGTTCTAATGGAAACATCGACAATGGGAAGTCTACAATTTATGATATAAAAAAGGCAAAGAATAAAATTCTAGAACTCGCAGCTTTTTCTTTAAAACTGCTCGTTTTGAAAAATGAGGCATGCTATATTTGCTAATGAATAAACTATCAAAATGTACCTGTTCATCTCTTCTTTGTTCCTCCTTAAATTTGAATTTTAAAAGTACTTCCTGAGAATCCGGAAAATCCGAAAATCCGGACTGACCCAATCCCCAAGCAGTCCGGATTTTTGGACTTCTACTGTACCAGTATTGCCTTTCCAACGTCAAAACAAAAAAATTTGCTATGATAAACAATAAAACTGATATACAGTATAGCATATAAAATACAATAGCACATATTTTATGTTAAAAAAAATAGCTCCTTCCACACTCAAACCATCCTCTGGGCGATCTTGACATAGTTCAGTTGAGCCAGGCAGTCACCCAGCTGACTCAGAGATGTGTGTGGCTGCTGCTGAGCTGCGCTATGTGCATGTTGTGACGTCACATCGAGGGAGGGAGAGTGTGGCTGGGTGGCGAGTCAACAACACAGTTACAACCCACTGCCTCCACACACGTTCACTTCACACACATACACATCCACTTTTCTTATTTGACACAGCAGCTTTATATTATATTTTCTTTACTTCTAAGCTACATCAGAATATTGGAATGACCTTTTCACAACTGAATTAACGTCAAGTGAATTAACGCTAAATGAGGGATACCTGTACTGTCTAAACCCACAAATTGTAATTCTCTTATTAAGATTTCACCCAAAAAAAGAAAGAAAAAGAAAAGATATTTTGGGGTACATCTTAACCGCTGAAGCATCTTATGGGCTGGGAAATATGATAGGTTAAAACATGACCCTGTCCATAAATTTTTTGTATTTTCCCATACATAAAAAACAATGTACAGTGCAGTAAATACTGTGATGTTAAACAATAAAAAGTAATGTAAAATATATAATTTTAAATGTAACTTTGTATACTGAATATATTAACGACAATATGTCATTAATAACTTAACTATATTATGGTGAGAATGGCATTATATCATGGAGATATGTAATGGTGTGTGGGAGTGCATGGGTGGTGGCGATCAGCTGAACGGCATGAGACAGGGATAGGAAGGCGAGCTTTTTTTCAACACAAATCTCATTTCCCATTCTCTCCTCCTGTGTGGTCCAGATCTCAGAGTGCCGTAGATTTGAAGAGTGCAAGATTTACTGCTCAACAAGGTGTGTGGGAAAATTTTTTGAAGGTTGTGGCATAAATGTGATTTACACAGTCATCAGCAATTTGTTTTCAGTTGCATTTCTGTTTCAACAGGTGGCTGGCACTGAGGATTCAATCAATAAAATTATGGTTTTTAATTAAGCCAAATGAAGGTCAAGGAGCACACAGCCAGTGTGATGGCACATCTCTTTACCTTTCAGCCTTTACTAGCAGCTCGTTTTAAGAGTTGTGAGTCTCATGGGAAGGTTTTTAACTAATCTTTCAGTTAGTTCCAGCTAATCAGTTTGAGGGAACTGGGATTTTCACCTATGAGACATGGGCTGGGCAGGTAATACGGGCAGTCTTCGCTTAACACTGAGGTTCTATTCCTGAAAACTGTGATGTTAATTAAAACAATGCTAATCGAAACCAGAAATCCTGCAGGAATTTTAGAGGTACTAAGGCTGATAATTTTGTACACAAACATTTAAAAATTTATAAAAATAACAATAAATATCTACAAAAATATATATGAAATACATCTGAGAGGCATGTGCAAAATCTCCACCTCACAGCTGTTATTCAACTACCAGCTGCCACAAGGTCCAATCATCGTTTCCTAGTTACCACCACCTTATACGTACTATACACCCATTTTTACCACCCTTATGACATTTAAACAATAAACATGTAATAACTGTAAGAATGCATTAGATAATCATTAAATTTGTGGTAATAATAAAGTGTTAGTAATGAATGATATTCAATTTTTAATTTTAGGTTTTGGCCAACATTGTAAAAACTAAACAAAATCAATTGAGTCAACTTTAAGCAAGGACCTCCTGAACCTGGGTTGACCAAGCTAGGTGTTAAGGTTATGAAATATGCTTTCTGTTTCAAAACAAATTAACAGTAAAACAGTTTGGATAATAATGGCAATATCATTCAAGCTTACCTTAATATTAGCATCAACTGCATCACAAGTTTTACACACAGCATCCCGGTAAGTCTCAACACAGTCAACAGTTAGAGCAGAGATCTGAAAGTTGGTTACCCAGAATTTAATGAGAAAATGTGTTTAAGGTTAAAGCATGAATCATACATTTGATAATTTCAACCATTTCTTGTGCTAAACCCTAAATGTATCAACTGAAAAATTATACATAGTTATCAAACTCACACTAAGGAGAGTGCCAGTAAGATTTTCAATAAGTGTGTCAACAGATGTAGCAATATGCCTAGCATGAGTCTCAATATCATTGATGATGGATGGGTCTATAGGTGGCACTTGGGGGGCAAGTGCAGTCCGTAATAAACTTGGGGTTGAACTCCTTGATCCAGGGAAAGATGCCACAGCTGAAATAGTAACACATGAAAAATATATATATAAATGGTAAAAGTTCATAGTCTGGTTAACACAAAAACCCTGGCTCAACCCTACACCTCAGAAGAGTTGGTGCAGTAAGATGTTATAAACTATGGTATGTTAAAGACTTGTGACAGTCATCTTAAAGTTTTAAAGTATAACTGGTATCTACTTACAGACAGACTTTATCCCATTCACAAGATAGTATTGCTATGAATAAAAAAAAAATATTTAAGAAAACTCTATTTACTGTATATCCATCCTGCATATAATGTTTCATTACCACTGAAGGTAATCAGAAATAAGGTTAAACTTATTAAACTGACAAGAGAAAATAAGGTAAGTCAGGGAAATTCTAAATGACTTTCCATTCCAGCACTAAAATTGTCAGTCTAAGATTTACACTAATGAGGTAAAATTGTCAACTGACAATCAAAGAATTTGCACTCTGTTTTTAACAAAGTGTGGGCTGATATCACTCTCAGGGTGCTGTGTAGGGATATGTATTCCTATGCCCCAGGCAGGAGAGATGTGGCAAGATGGTGGTATATGGGGTTATTGTGAGTTAGGATATGGGGCAGCAGGAACATCTGCTTAACTAACATCAGTGTGGGAATGATCTTGACTTGGGCCAGCTATTCACCCAATGTTTGGGTCACATCTATGATCATCAACATAAGAGCCAAAATTTTCTATGTTAATGTCATATTGTGTTGGCCTGATCATCAATTCACTATCATCACCATTACTTGTCTCATGCACACTTTTTGTTTATAATGTGGGAGAAGTGACACAGTTGTTATCTTCTTCATAGATTACCTCATCACTGTTATCTTCATCAGGTACAATTTTAAAGAACTCGGTGGGAAGTGTTTTAATTCCTTTCTCACATCCAACCAAGGCATATCTTATACAAAATGGTCAGATAATGCCATGATACTACATACAATGAATGGAAGAACCCAATTCCCAAACTTACTTTTTGAAACAGGACTGGAGAGTTTTATCTTGTTATGTAGATCATCTGCTACAAAGGATATGATGTCTCCTTGTCTTGTAACAATTCCAGCACCTTGAAGAGCTGACTCTGCTTGGTCTGGGCTACATCTCCCCACTTTTAGACTCCAAGGTCGTTTCTGATAAAATATTATGTTAGGATGAGAATTAATTGTGAAAAATTATAATCTTACATAGAAATTTTAAATGAAAAAGTCTTTACTGCAATTCTCAAGGAAATTCTTAAAATTCTAAAATTATCTTGATGACAGTCTGTAATGTCTAAGAAATAAAAGAGAGAATGATGTAAGCAATGCTCATGAAAATTGATATTACGGTCCTATAGTAGTGAGTTACAGTTGGCCCTTAACATACACGGGGGTTAAGTAACAGAGATAGCCGTGGATGTTAAAAATCCGCAGGCGTCACGGAAGTTTTTGGGAACGGATGTATATGCGATCAGATGTTGTTCGGTTGGACGTTAACCGGTGCATGACTGTATAAAGATTAATTCAATCAAATACATATTCAGTAATAAACAATAATGAATCTTTTGTACGTTTGTTAAAAAGATAAATGACGTGGTATCATTAAATTTGCACATACAGTATATGTTGGCGTTCCCAATCCATCTTTTTTTTTTCTTTGCCATTAGTGGTTAGCTCCTTCTATTGTTCCATTTATTAACATTAAATAACGTTACTTAAAATATATATACAGTCGGCCCTTAACATACGGGGGTTAAACTTACACGGATTTGCAAATACATGGATTGCCGCTGGAGGAATATTCAGATTCAGATTTGCCCCCGAGGGGGCTAGTTTATTGGGCACCCCCCTTACATCCTGTGCAAGGTGAAGCGCAGAAGCGTTTACAGCGCCCAACAGGGAAGTATGAAAAGTTCATACTTGCCTTTATGACTTGTACATTAAGGGCGTAAAAGCCTGAAGGGTCATAGGTTCTGTCAAGTTACATAAAGTGAGAGAATGATGAGTGTGTGGGGGGAAAGTTCCCGGTACATTTTATCTGTTTGTGGCAGAGAGTGGCAGGTCCCTAATAATGTCAAATGCCAGGCCTGTGACTAGGAGGAGGGATATCTGGTCTGGGAGGGAAGAGGTGTTGGTAACGGCTGGGGACCTATAGGAGGAGGTCATAGGGCAAGTGAGGATGTAGTGAGAGAGGGTGTGAGAGTCGGGTTGGCCACAAAGTTTACAAACAGTGCGGTGAGGCTCAGGGTTGCCAATGTACTCCCATAGGTACCTGTACCCTAGGCGCAGTCTCATGTATATAAGCTGTTGAGATCGAGTCAGGGATTGATATGCTTTGTAGTGGCGGTTGTCGTCACCGGTTACAGCGTCATAGTGGCATAGTGTGACGCTACCCCGTTGTTTCAGGTGTGTCCAATTTTCGTTGAATGCCTCTCGTTGTGTGGCGTGTATGCGAGATTTGAGATGATTCAGGGAGAGGGCGAGAGTGGCTTCAGTATCTTCTTCTTGTGTAGCTTCTTTGGTAAGCCGATCAACAGTGTCACAGGCAGTTATTCCTATATGTGACGGGATCCAAAGAAACTTGACACGGATGTCATCAGTTTGTTCTAGCCCGGCAACGGCGGCTAGGGTGTGTTGGGCGGCAGGGGAGGAGGGGGAGGGTAATTTGAGCCTCGCTAGCGCAGAAGTGCTGTCACTGATTATAAGGAGGTTCCGGCGTTCAGTGCGAGCATAGGTCGCCCCCTCATGAATGCCCGCGAGGATGGCTATGCTTTCAGCATCAGTGGAGGAGGCCCAGTCGTGGACCCTGATTTTTCTGCAGGCCTGGCGCTCAGGAATCCACACAGCTGGCCCAGCGCTGCCCAGCGTGGTAACAGACCCATCACAGTAGACGAGGATAGGAGGGTGGGAGGTCTTTAGAGAGGAAGCGACATCATTAATCTGCTCAAGGCAGTTAAGTTTGAGCATATACCTCAGTTGGGTGGATTTACGACCAGGGAAGGTGTGGACGACAACATCAACACACGGGGAGGTCCACGGCGGTAGAGGCGGATGAGTGTACTCGGGAGGGAGAGAGGTCGAGGGGGTGTAGAGGTGATAACGCAGGATGTCAGCAGCAGTGTGGACGGGCCAGAGTTGAGAGGGAGGGGGGAAAGTAATGGGGACAGGCCGGCGCAGGAGGGTGTTAAGATGTGAGTTCAGTGAGCGCGACAGGGGAGTCGGTTGCTCACTGCGAAGAAGTTTAACACCAAGGATGGCATTGAGAGCAGTAATTCGATCGCAGACGGGAAGCAAGATTAGTTCGCGCTGCATGACTTCTATTCTGATGGTCATAGGGCAGCCGAGGATGAGTCTCATCGCCCTGTTTTGGATTTTCTCTATGCTTTGTTTCTCGCGCTGGGAGGCAACTACAAGGACAGGAGAGGCATAATCTATGACAGCTCCGACGATGGCAATGTACATGAGACGTAGGACCCTGACAGAGGCTCCTTTGAGGCCGTGAGTGAGGGACTGGAGGGGCCTCGTTCGTTGGCGGCACTGGGAGATGACGTGGGCGGCGACAGCGGAGGTCGTGGCTCTGGTAGTGGCTCGCACAGGTAGACCAAGGTACCTGTAGGTGCGTACTTGATCGATGTCTTGTCCTTGCAGAATCAGTGGTGTCTGACGCCGGAAGCGTGAGATGAACTTGGTTTTAGTGTGTGAGATGACTAGCCCGAGTGTTTGACAGGTCCGGGCGAACGTGGAGAGTATAGGTTGTTCATGTTGCACTGTAGTAATTTGGAGGAGGATATCATCAGCGTAGCTTATGATGTGACCGTCTAGGGCTCGCTCAGCAAAGATGACGTTGAGACGGCAGATGGAGTTCATGAGAACATTGAAGAGTGTAGGGCTGAGTACACCTCCCTGAGGCGTGCCAAGATCAAGGTCCCTGATCTTAGAGTAGTGGCCCTGAAAACGGACACGGGCCTGTCGATGGGAGAGGTAGTCAGCAATCCACGTGAGGAGTTTGCCCTTCACATCCATGTGAGTGAGGCCCTCAAGGATCACTTCACTGTTGGCTTTATCAAAAGCACCCTTGAAGTCGACGAAGAGGGAGGTTTTGGCGGAGGTGTTTGCCATGTAGTGAGCGATGCAGTGAGCAGTACTCTTTCCGGGGCGAAAACCATAGAGGTCAGGGTGCAGGTGGGCTTCAATTTTCCAGTGGAGGCGGTGGAGTATCATGCGCTCCATCATCTTTGAGAAGCAGGAGATGAGGGATATTGGACGATATTCATCTTGTCTGCCCGGTTTAGGGACTGGGATGATGGTGGCAGTCTTCCATGAGTGAGGCAGCTGACCAGTATCAAAAGAGAGGTTAAATAGACAGAGGAGGGGGTTACCAGGGGTGGCAATAAGGGCATTTAACACATCATATGTGACGCTGTCATCGCCTGGGGCAGTGGACCGACCACGCTTAACAGCATTTAGTAGTTCACACTGTGTGAAAGGCACATCAGTGTCTGCAAATAGGTCTTGGTACTCGAAGATGCACTGTCGGCGTTGTGGTTGCAGTGCGAGGGTGAGGTCTCGTACAGCGGGTGGTAGCGCATCAATGGAGGCGGCCTCCTGCCACGTCTGGGAGAGTGCCTCAGCTCGGGCAGCTGGTCTGGGGTGGAGCGCGGGTCTAGCGTTGGTACCCCGGGCACGGTTAATGGTGCGCCATATATCACCTATAGATGTAGACTGGTCAATAGAAGAAGCAAAATCAAACCACTGTTTCTCTCATGCGAGAGTGATGGCAGATTGGAGCTCTTTATTTGTGCGCATCAGGAAGCGTAGAGAGTCAGGGGGGCTGGGAGATTTCTTCCACTGGTCGACTGCTATTCGGTGCCATACTCGGATAGACTTAACATGAGGGTCACGGTTAACGTTCCACTGACTCCTGGGCTGGCGGTTAGGGCGGCGGTGTTTTGGGACAGGGCGGAGGAGTTCGGTGCATTGTTTAGACAGATCAAGGTAGAGTTGGTCTGCGGTGGTGACAGTGTAACCCTGAAACCATTCAGCAATGGAAGTGATGAAGGCAGGTATGTTGGCAGGGGGTAGCCTGAGCCTAGGGCCCTTGGGTGGAACGGGTATTCTCACATACTGGAGGGTAGTGTGGATAGGGAAATGGTCACTGTGGGGGGAGTGGAGGATGCGGGTGGAGTGTGGGCGGTGAGGGTCAGAGTAGAGAGCTATGTAGTCAAGTTTCCCTCCCCCGATGTGGGTGGGTGATGGAGGGCAGAGAAGACGTACAGGGTCATCAGTGGTTTGTAGGTAGGAGAGCCAGGTGTTACCCCGGGAGTTTGAGTGGGGCCCCTGGGAGCCGAGACTAGGGTGACGGGCATTGAGGTCCCCCACAAGGAGGGTGGGGGTGGAGGTGATATGGTGTGGTAGGACAGGTACAGTAGGGGTGGAGGGAGGCACATAGACATTGACAATATTGAGGGACATACCTTTTAGTGTGATTGTGATGGCATGTGCGTCGGTAGTGTCGTCATCAAGGGGGATGTCGAGAGGTTGGTAGGGGACATCCTTCTTGACGTAGATCCGTAGTCCACGTGCATGGCTTCGTGGTAGTCCGTCGATGCAGAGAACAGGAGTGGATGGGCTCTCAACACATGTGTAGCCACTGAGCACATAGGTACCAGCAGCACACCGCGTTTCTTGGAGGCACAGCACGTCGACGTCTTCAGTGTAGATGTAGGTTTTGAGGGCACCAAACTTGCTTTGCAAGCCGTTTATGTTCCAGGTGAGTACCTGCAGTCCTGTAGCGTTGCTATCCATTGTGGTGTATTAGACTGATTACCCCTGACGTGGACGGATGGGCCTTAGGTGCCGGCATGTCGGTGGAGTATGGGTAGCCGGGGGTGGAGTCCTCAGGTCCAACAGGTAGTCCTGGTGGAGACAGCACAGACACAGGAGCAGGCGAGGCTTGAGGTGGGTAGACAGGTTGAGGCACCACGTGACGTAAAGATGAGGCAGGGCTTGGCTCGGGGGCCCCAGTACACACAACCTGTGAGCAGGGGGGCTCACAGGGGGACTACCAGCTTGTGTCAAACCAAAAGAGGGGAGTGACTGGGTGGCAGCAAAGGGCAGGAGTTGGCGGTGTAGGTCGGAGATGGCGGTACAGA